AAGAAGCACGAGGCTGCCTCCGACATCTCTGCCAACGCAAAGAAGAAACCAGAGGCTGACTCCTACGTCTCCGCTAGCGTTGAAAAGAAATCCGAAGCCGACTCCGCCAGTGCCGAGAAGAAACCTGAAGCCGCCTCCGATGTCTCCGCCACCGCTGAGAAGAAACCTGAGGCCGACTCCTACGTCTCTGCCAATGCTGAGAAGAAACCCGAAGCCGTCTCCGCCAGTGCCGAGAAGGAACCCGAAGCCGCCTCTGACGTCTCCGCCAGCGCTGAGAAGGAACTTGAGGCCGCCACTGACGCCTCTGCTGTCCCTGAGAAGAAACCTGAAGCCGTCTCTGATGTCTCCGCTAGCGCAGAGAAGAAACCCGAAGTCGTCGCCGACTACGCCGGTGCTAAGAAGAAACCTGATGTCGGCCCCGATAATGTTGCTGCAGAGAAGAATTCGGTAAGCTCCTCTGGATATGCCGGCATGGAGAAGAAACCCGAAGGTGCCACCAAGGCCGCCGGGGAGAAGAAATCCGAGATTGCCTCCAAGAAGAAATCCAAAAAAAAGAGCGAGCTCTCCCAGCCTTCCACCACCGAGAAGAAACCGAAAGGGAAAAACGACCATGGTGCCGAGAAGAAGTCCAAAGGCAAGAAGGACGCCTCTGGATACACTGGTGCGGAGAAGAAACAAAAAGCAAAAGTAGATTCCCCCAAGAAGGTTGGGGTCGAGAAGAAACCGGAGATGCCAAAGAAGGAAGAGCCTAAGAAGAATGACAAGACCAAGTCGTTGGCGCCGGCCACAACTGATGCTTACGTCGCACCGAAGGAAGAAATGAAGAAGCCAGAAGCTGCCACGCCCGATACCTACGCTGCACCAAAGGTGGAATCAAAGAAAGAGGAGTCCAAGAAGGATAAGCTAAAGAAGGTGGAGGTCATGCCCATCACACCTGACACCTACACCAAGCCAACGGAGGAGCCAAATAAGGAGGAGCCAAAGAAGGAAGAGCCGAAGGAGGAGATAGCGACCAACTCACCTGACACCTACACTGAGCCAAAGAAGGAGGAGCCAAAGGAGGAGCCCAAGAAGGAGGAGATCGCGGCCAGCTTACCTGACACCTACACCGCGGCAAAGGAGGAGCTGAAGAAGGAGGAACCAAAGAAGGAGGAGCCAAAGGTACCAGTAGCCGACACCACCGATAGCTATGCCGCGCCACAGAAGGCCCAACCGGAGACGTCGGTGGCTGCAACATCTAATAGCTACACCGTGTCAAAGAATGCTCAGCCAGAGACATTGATAGCTAGCACAACCGACACCTATGCTGCGCCAAAGACTACCAAGCCGGAGACGGAGGCAGCCAGCACAACCGACAGTTATGCTGCGCCGAAGACTTCCCAGCCAGAGACACCAGCGGCCGAAACAACTGATGCCTATGCCGCGCCGAGACCGAGGCTGTGGAACAAGAAGATTGGCCATCTCCCCCTGCCGCACTAAGTCCAACAGTTTACCCAGTTTCTGAGCGATCAACCAAAAAAAACTTCCCCTCTCATCTCACTTGAGGAGCTACTATGACTCTATGACCGGATTTTATACCCCAATTTTCATTGTGTAACCGCTTATCCACAATGTACCACTTATGCAACTCCGTTTGCAGTGTTATTGTATTGCTATGTAAAGAGAACTCATGTACCTGTCATGTAAACAAACAAGTGTTATACCACTTTTTATTCTAAAAATAAAACTCATGTACCGTGCATGTATCACTTTTTATTCTAAAAAGAGAACTCATGTAACGTGCATGTAACACCGGATTAAGAATACCCAGCTTTCGTGAATATTCAGGAGATTGTTTCATAGAGTGTTGCAAATGCTTCACAAGAGTTCCATCATGTCACGGCTAAACATTAATCATGTATCAACTATTTAAGATCTACTGCTTGCATATATAATTTTTTTCTCAAAATTAGCATAGAGAAAGTTAATGTCTTAATCCATCATCACAAGTTAATGTCATATAACACAAAGAAAGTTAAATGTTTGCATAATTCCTTGGACCATGAGAGTATCTAGTTCCTTCATGGCATCTTTTGTCCTACCCTCCCGTGACAGCGGGGTCCTAGTAGAAACTAAGGGTAACTAAGGCGCTCCTTTTAATAGAAAACCATAACACAACATTAACACATAGTGAATACATGAACTCCTCAAGTTAGAGTCATCCCCATGGAGTATCCCAATTATTGTCACCTTGGGGTATATGGTTCAGAACAATAACATATGCATACAAATTGCAGATATGATCAAGAACACAAATATATACATGAAAACATAATATGTTCAGATTTGAAATCATGGTACTCGGGCCCTAGTGACAAGCAATAAGAATAGCAATGTCATATCAACATCAACCCCAGAACATAGTGAATAATAGGGATCAAGCCTTAACAAATTTGACATGGTTACATATGAAATTCCATCCAAATCCCATCAACCTCCAGTATGCCTACAAGAAGATTACTCACACAAGGATGCGAGCATCATGAAATTGTTGATGTAGAAGGGTTGGCGATGACGAGGGCAACAAATTCCTCTCTCCCGAGCAACGAACGGACTCTAGATCAGGGCTCTTGACAAAGAACAAGAGGTGGCGGCGGGTCCATATCATAACATGCAATGAAACTTTCTGTCTGATTATTTTCTTGGAGGATGTGAATTTATAGCGTTCGTGAAGGAAATATACCCTAGAGGCAATAATAAAGTTTTTATTTATATTTCCTTATATCATGATAAATGTTTATTATTCATGCTAGAATTGTATTAACCGGAAACTTGTTACATGTGTGAATACATAGACAAAATAAAGTGTCCCTAGTATGCCTCTACTTGATTAGCTCATTAATCAAAGATGGTTAAGTTTCTTATATCATGATAAATGTTTATTATTCATGCTAGAATTTTATTAACTGGAAACTTGATACATGTGTGAATACATAGACAAAATAAAGTGTCCCTAGTATGCCTCTACTTGACTAGCTCGTTAATCAAAGATGGTTAAGTTTCCTGACCATAGACATGTGTTGTCATTTGATGAACGGGATCACATCATTAGGAGAATTATGTGATGGACAAGACCCATCCGTTAGCTTAGCATAATGATTGTTAAGTTTTATTGCTATTGCTTTCTTCATGACTTATACATATTCCTTTGACTATGAGATTATGCAACTCTCGAATACTGGAGGAACTGTGACGCCCCCGATTCAATTGTACACTAATCATGCACGCAAACGTGTACGATCAAGATCAGGGACTCACGGGAAGATATCACAACACAACTCTAAAAACATAAATAAGTCATACAAGCATCATAATACAAGCCAGGGGCCTCGAGGGCTCGAATACAAGTGCTCGATCATAGACGAGTCAGCGGAAGCAACAATATCTGAGTACAGACATAAGTTAAACAAGTTTGCCTTAAGAAGGCTAGCACAAACTGGGATACAGATCGAAAGAGGCGCAGG